GGCGTAGTGGTTGAGAGTCCGCCTGCCGATGCAGGAGACACGGGTTCGTGCCCCGGTCTGGGAGGATCCCACATGCCGCGGAGTGGCTGGGCCCGTGAGCCATGGCCGCTGGGCCTGCGCGTCCGGAGCCTGTGCTCCGCAACGGGAGAGGCCACAACAGTGAGAGGTCCGCGTACCGCAAAAAAAAAAAATCTTAAAAAAAAAAAGAAACTTCTGACAACTCTAAGTGTTCTCCTCCCTGTCTCCCCTCACTCTCACCAGCCTTGAAACCCTGACTCCCCAGGCCCTGCCCTGGCCATATTTCTCTCCTTAATCCTCATCACTCCCTGCCCAGCTGTTTAACTCCCTCCCCTCCCCCAACCTGCAAAGGTGAGGTCCATGGGGGCTGAGACGGGTTCATTCACCACCCTCATCTCAGCACTGGGCACACAGCTAGCGTTCAATAAATATTTGCCCCATGCTCCTTGTGGCCCCTTTCCAGCCCTAACCCAAGGCATTCCTTGGCAGGCATCCTCCCCCACTCCTCCTGCCAAGGTCGCCTGTACCTCTGTGTAGCTGCATCAGGGACCTGCTGGTAAGAGACCTGCTGACTCTCCCCGTCCCTCTTTCCCTTCCTCCCTTCAGACGCCCGATTTGAAACAGCCTGGCTCGCTCAGAGAACTCCTGCAGGCTCTCCCTGGCCTGACTCCAGGTCTCCTAAATGTTCAGGTTCCTGGGTCTGCTTCTTGCTCTCCTCGCCCTGCCGTGGGAACCCCCCACTTTACTGGGTTTCCACCAGCATCTCCTAAATTGCCCTTGGAGCCCCCTTCTGGAGCTCCTGACCTGGCCCCCTCGGGCATTTTCATCTCCGTGTCTCAAGTGCAAAACTTACCCCATTGTCTCCCTCTAAAATCTGCCCTTCTTCCTGGTTCCCAGCCTCTGACATGGGGCCCGCTCCCACCCAGTTTCTCAAGCCGGAGACCCAGGAGATCTGGGGGTCTTCCAGAGCCTCCCTCACCCTCAGTTCCTCATCAGACCCATCACCAAGGAGCTCTTGAATCTCTACAATTCCCTCCACCTTGTTAATTCATTTCACAGACATTTCGTGAGGACCTATTATGTGCCAGGTACTGGGGTAGATGCTGTGGACACTGCAGGAAACAAGACCGGGAGAGATTTCTGCCCTCGTGGAGCCCAAATTCCATGGGGAGGCAGCAAGAAACAGATACAAGTGCACTATGAAATGTTCTAGAGTGTAATTAGGGATATGAAACAAGAAGGAGAGCAGGAGGAGGGGGAATGGGAGTGTTGGGCTGGGTGCAGTTTCAAACAGGGTGCCCAAGGGAGGGCTTTGGGAAGGTGAGATTTGAGGGGTTTTTTTTTCATTCTTTTTTTGGGGGGCCTCTCCTCACAGTTTGCGGGATCTTAGTTCCTAGACCAGGGATTGAACCTGTCCATGCCCCCTGCAGTGGAAGCTTGGAGTCTTAACCACTGGACTGCCAGGGAAGTCCCAGATTTGAGCATTTTGAGTCCAGGTGTGAGCTGTAGGCATTTCTTAGAGAAAACCATGCTGGGCAGAGGGAACAGCGAGTGCAAAGGCCCTGAGGCAGAACCAGGCTGGGTGTGTTTGGCAGCCAGGAGGCCGCTGCGGTGGGAAGTGAGATCAGAGGAGCAACAGGGGCCAGAGTGTGTGAGGCCTTGAAGGCCATCTCTTCTCACGTGCACAAGTACGATCATCTCCTGATACGAATTCTCACCCCACTTTGCCCACAGATTTGTTCCTCATACAAGAGACAGAATGATCTGTTACTACTAATGATCTGTTAGTATTAATGGGCTCACATCACTTCCTTGCTCAAATACCTTCTATGGCTTCCTGTTGCTCTTGAGGTCAAGACCAGATGCCTCAGCATGGCCATCCAAGCCTGATATATCTGCCCCCCAGCCCCTTCCTGTACCACCCCCTTCACTCACTGCACTCAGCACCTTGAGAGCTCCTAACTCTCTCCCACGGCCAGGCCTCTGCACAGGCTGTTCTCTGCCAGGAGCACCTGCGTCTCCGTGTAGCTCCATCAAGGACCCACCGGACTCTTGATGGCCTGACTCCCTCCCTTTGCCCCACCTCTCCCCTAGTTAGTGTCACTCATGTTTCACTTCCTGCAAAAAGCCTGCGCTGACGGCCAGAACAAACCAGCACCAGAACACACTCACCCATATACACTCGTCTCTTGCTTATTTAGTAACACTTGGCTGCCCCATGACTATAAACTCCACAAGGGCAAAGACCACGTGGTGTATCCCCAGCACCTACGAATGCTTGGTCAGTCTTTGATGACGAAATAGATGAACGACTGGATAGGTCTCTAAGAACCAATCCAGCTCTGAGAGTCTACAATAGACACTCCTGTGCTCAAACATCTTCTGCGATCCTTACTGACAAGATCTCATTTCCTTAACTTTATAACTATCCCTAATTCCTCTGTTGTTTTCTCTAGCCTAGGGAATGGCTCACTTTGGCTTGTGTCAGAATCCACCAGGGAGGCCAAAGACCCAGAGATTCTGATTCAGGAGGCCTGGGGTCCCAGAATCAACATTTAAAGAGCTTTCAAGGGACATTGGTGGTGGTGATGATGATGATGGTGATGAAGGTAATGATGATAATGATGGGGGGATGATGGCAATGATGGTGAAGATGGTAATATGATGATTTAATAACGATGACGATGATGGCAGTGATGGTTATAATGATGATGATGGTGACGATGGCGATGATGGTGAAGATGGTAATGATGGTGGTAAATGATGACGATGATGATGATGGCAGTCATAGTGGTGATGGGAATGATGGTGATGATGGTGATGGCAATGATGGTGAAGATGGTCATGATGATGGTGGTAAATAATGATGATGATAATGGTGATGGTAGTGATGGTCACAATGATGATGACGGTAATGATGGTGAAGATGGTAATGATGGTTTAATAATGATGACAGTGAGGGTGATGGGAGTCATGGTGGTGATGATTATAATGATGATGAGGGTGGTGATGGCAATAATGGTGAAGATGGTTATGATGATGTTAATGATGATGGTGGTGGTGATGGGAATGATGGTGATGATGATGATGGTGGTGATGGTTATAATGATGACAATGGTGATAATGGCAGCAACTTACACATGTTGACAAATTGCTTTACAACAGGCACTGGGATAGAGGCAGGAAGAAGCAGACAAAAGTCTCTGCCCTCTGAAAAACCAAATGCAATCGGCAGACTTTGGAGCTTGGTGTGAACAAACCAACTATACTAAGACATTTGCGAACAACTGGGTGAACTTAAATACAGCTTGGGTATTAAATGGTATTAAGAAATGACTGTTAATTTTCTTAGGAGATCTAATAGTAATTTGGTCATGTAAAAAAGTCTTAATTTTAATTATTAACATGAAGTTAAATGTTTTTTTTTTTTTTTGGTCACCCCACACTGCTTGCAGGATCTTAATTCCCAGACCAGGGATTGAACCCAGGCCCTTGGCAGTGAACGCACGGAGTCCTAACCACTGGACCACCAGGGAAGACCCCCCAAATGTATTTCTAAGTTAAAACAGTATTTGGCTCTCCCTTGCCTCTTAGATAGGGGGACAACTCTGAGGTGCATGTTTCTCGCTGAATCCCAGAGTGCCCCCAGGGGATGGTGCCCCACCTGGTGGTAACTTGCTTGGTGACGCCCTTCATCAACTGCCTAGCAACTACTCCCCAGGCTGAAGGAAGCAATTCCTGGGATCGCCTTCCATCCATCCTGCCTTTCAATCCCCACCTGGACTCTGCTTCTGGGGGAACCCCGACTAACACAGGTGTGGCCACGGTACCCTGATAAGAATTCTAATAATCTGAATAAGAAAGTCTCTAGATTAGCTAAGATCATGATATCAATGTTAATGTTACTATGACTGTGTAAGAGAATGTTCTAGTTTTTAGGAAATACCCTCCAAAGCACTGAAGGGTAAATAGACGTCATGCTTGCAACTTACTCTCAAATAGAGAGATAGAAGAATAAAGCAAATGTGGTAAAATGTTAACAACGGGAGTCTGCGTATACAGGACTCCTCTGTATTATCCGGGCAATAAGTCTTAAATAAGTCTTAAATTATGTCAAAATAAAAATAAATAGGGCTTCCCTGGTGGCGCAGTGGTTGAGAGTCCGCCTGCTGATGCAGGGGACGCCGGTTCGTGCCCCGGTCCGGGAAGATCCCACATGCCGCAGAGCCGCTGGGCCTGTGAGCCATGGCCGCTGAGCCTGCGCGTCCGGCGCATGTGCTCCGCAACGGGAGAGGCCACAACAGTGAGAGGCCCACGTACAGCAAAAAAAATAAAAATAAATAAACGTTCTAATCCATTGGTAGTATTTATGAAGTTCTTACTAATGAAATTATATGATATCTGGGTAGGGGATGGCAGGAGGCAATGGATAGAACAAGCTTAACAAAATGCTTATAATTGCTAAAGGGAGAAGGAGATGGAGGTTCTCCTGTTCCTAAAATACACCCAGGTTGTTTCTGCCCCAGGGCCTTTGCACACTCTTTTGGCAAGTGAAACACCCTGTGTCCTACTTCTCTACTTCCTTCCCTCCCATTCAAGGTTGAGCTCAAACTTCACCTTTTCCCTTCTACTTCTCCCAGGATTCATTTGCCCAATATGTATCTCAGAGACTGCAAACCGAGTGAGGTGGATCGGCCACAAGAAACAGAATGGGGCAAGGTTCACGATAAACAATAATACCTTGCAGACAGTAACCTCTGTGCCAGGTATGTTCTGAGGACTTTGTGGGTATTTAATTTAATCTCATTCAATTCTCAGGACAACGCTGTGAATTACTACCACTATTAGCCTCCTTCTACAGATGAGAAAACCTAGGTGCAGAGAGACTGAGAACCTTGCCTGATGTTACAAGTAGGAAGTAACAGAGAACCCAGGCAGGTGGACCCCAGATCTAGACCCTCCTGTGAGGCTTCTGCACCAGCCACTCACAGGTAACAGGGTCAGGAGGCCAAGGAGGGAGAGCTGGGGATTGGGGTACAGTGGGGAGCCCTTGCCATGGATGCAGTTGGCCAACTTTTCAAGAGAAACCAGAAATCCAGGTGTTTGGGAGAAATTTCTCTCTTTTAAAAAATGCTGGCAATTAGGCAATTAATGAGGGAAGGAGAGAAAGAAAAAAAAACCACACACACACACACACGGGAAGCCCCTGGTGGTCCAGTGGTTAAGGATCCCTGCTTCCAACGCGAGGGGCTCAGGTTCGGTCCGTGGTGGGGCAGCTAAGATCTCACATGACGTCGGCACGGCCAAGGAAGGGAAAAAAAATACACACACGCACATACCCTTTACGGGCTGTGGTGTGTGCATGCCTTATTGTACGGAGGTGCCAATCTTTTGTTATTATTATTTTGGCCGCATACCACTGACTTGCGGGATCTTACTTCCCAGACCAGGGATTGAACCCATGCCCTCCGCAGTGAAAGCGTGCAGTCCTAACCACTGGACCCCCAGGGAATTCCCAGGAGGGGCCAATCTTAGAAGGTGAACAGAAACTGGGGACAGGAGCCAGGGTTGATTGGTTGAGAGACAGATTATCCAACTGCCTGGGCTGGGCACCAGACGGCACCAGATCCCACTTACGACAGTTCGAGTTCCTCTGCTCCGAGCACTCTATGGCTCCCAGCTCACACAGTGTCAAACCCAAGTCCTCTCCAAGGTTTACGAGACCCAGCACGATCTGCCCTTAACTTCCAGCCTCTCCCTGCTTCGTCTGCTTCAGTCACGCTGCCTTCCTCGCTGTCCCTCCTACACGCCAAGCACTCCCACCCCAGGGCCTTTGCACTGGCTGCTCCTCTGCTGGACCACAATTGCCCACATACCTCCTTGGGGTCTTGACTCAAATGTCACCTCTTAGAGAAGCCTTCTGACCACCCACCCTGTCTAAAAGAGCACATAGATACACACTTAAAAAACAAACAAACAAAAAACCCTTATCTAGTAAAGATCATACTGAATTATTTTATTTATGGGTGAAATAATGATATCTGAGATTTGCTTTCAAATACTCCAGAAAAGGTAAAGAAAAGAAAAAGTGAGGAGTCAACAAGAAACAAGAATGACAGAATAGGGGCCTCCCTTGTGGCGCAGTGATCAAGAATCTGCCTGCCAATGCAGGGTACACAGGTTTGATCCCTGGTCCGGGAAGATCCCACATGCCGCGGAGCAACTAAGCCCGTGCACCACAACTACTGAGCCCGCACGCTCCAGGGCCCGTGCTCCGCAACAAAGAGAAGCCACCGCAATGAGAAGCCCACATACTGCAACAAAGGGTAGCCCCCGCTCGCCACAACTGGAGAAAGCCGGCGCGCGGCAATGAAGACCCAACGCAGCCAAAAATAAATAAATAATTTTTAAAAAGTATTATAATGGGGAATTCCCCGGTGGTCTAGTGGTTAGGACTCTGCGTTTCCACTGCAGGAAGCACGGGTTCGATCCCTGGTTGGGGAACAAAGATCCTACAAGTCTCACAGCACAGCAAAAAAAAAAAAAAAGTATTATGATGGTAAATTAAATAAATAAATAAAAAGTACTTTGATGAAAATAAGTGGTTATCACAGAGAACGAATATGTACAAGTAGCTGCCATATGAGCGAGTAGTCAGGAAAGGCCTTTCTGAAGAGATGGTATTTGAACTAAGGTAGTAAGTAGGAGGCAATTTGGGGAAGATTCAGAGGAAAGGTGTAGAGGTAGAAGGAGATACTCTTTGCTCCTGATAGCTATTCACTGGGTAGCAAACCTGTGACTGTCTATTACTGATTCCTTGTCCTAACTCCTTTCTCCAGATCCTTAACATCCCCCACCACTACCACCACACCACTTTGGAAGGTTCTGGAAGGTTCCTAAGAAGACTGGGCTATGTAGCAACACAGGTAGCTTTGGCCAGCTGTAGGGATCTGCATGCATTTCTTTTCTACAAAAATGGAGTCCTTCTGGAATAAGATCAAAGCAAGGCACAGAAAACATTTGGCTCTGAGACAAAGTGGGTCTGACAATCTCACCGTCAGGCGGCTGCTCACCTTGGTCAGGGTGTACGTCCCCAGCAGGTTCAGCTCCAGCAGCTGCCGGAAGCCCTGGGCAGAGGTCTCCTCGGGCCACTGAGGAGGTGGATCTAAGGGTGGGGGTGGAAGAGAGAGAGAGCAGAGGATGAGGGAACCATGAAGACAGGAGAGCAGGGAAGGGAAATAGGCACTGCGGGGTGCAGGGGGGAGGAGTGGCAGACTAGAGGGTCAAGGGTCCTGAAAAGGAAAGGAGGCTGCATAGTGGTTACTAAAAAAGTAGTCTCAAAATTGGATTAAGAAGATGTGGTTTGTATGTACACTTGGAATATTAGCCTTAAAAGAAAGAATGGGGGCTTCCCTGGTGGCGCAGTGGTTGAGAGTCCGCCTGCCGATGCGCAGTGGTTGAGAGACCAGGGTTCGTGCCCTGGTCCGGTAGGATACCACATGCCGCGGAGCGGCTGGGACCGTGAGCCATGGCCGCTGAGCCTGCGCGTCCGGAGCCTGTGCTCCGCAGCAGGAGAGGCCACGACAGTGAGAGGCCCGCGTACCGCAAAAAAAAAAAAAAAAAAAAGAATGAAATATCGCCATTTGCAGCAACATGGATGAACCTAGAGAATATTATGCTTAGTGAAATAAGTCAGAGAAAGACAAAAACTGTATGATATCACTTATACGTGAAACCTAACAAATAATACAAGTAAATATATATGCAAAATGGAAACAGACTCAGATATAGAAAACAAACTTGTGGTTACCAAAGGGGAGAAGGAAGGAGAGAGGGACAAATCAGGAGTATACAAACTACTACAGATACAAACTACTATATATAAAGTAGATAAGCAACAAGGATATATGGTATAGCACAGGGAATTATAGCCATTATCTTGAAATAACCTATAATGGAATATAGTCTGCAAAAATACTGAATCTCTATGGTGTACACCTGAAGCTAACATAAGACTATAAATTAACTATACTTCAATTAAAAAAAATTAAAAGGAGCAGGGACTTCCCTGGTGGCGCAGTGGATAAGACTCTGCGCTCCCAATGCAGGGGGCCGACGTTTGATCCCCGGTCAGGGAACTAGATCCCACATGCATGCCGCAACTAAGAGTTTGCATGCCGCAACTAAGAGTTTGCATTCCGCAACTAAGGAGCTGGCAAGCCGCAACTAAAGGAGCCCTGGAGCCGCAACTAAGACCTGGTGCAACCAAATAAGTAAACAAATATTTAAAAAATTAAAAGGAGCATCAAAAGAAGAAACAAACAAAAAAACAGTCTCAGGGCCAGAAGGCCTGGGTTCAAATCTTAGCTCTGACACTTCTTGGCTGTGTGACTTTAGGCAAGTCACTTTGCCCCCTGTGCCTGTTTCCTCATCTGCAGAATGAGGATAACACTTTGTTCTTAGGCTTATAAATTTCACAAGTCAATATTTTTGCCTGACACTTAGTACTATAAATGTATTTGTTAAATAAATAGAAAGAGGGGACTTGCCTGGTGGTCCAGTGGTTAAGACTCTGCACTCCCAATGCAGGGGGCCTGGCTTTGATCCCTGGTCAGGGAACTAGATCCTGTAAGCCACAACTAAAAGATCCCACGTGTCGAAACTAAGACCCGGCACAGCCAAATAAATAAATACTAAAAAAAAAAATAGAAAGAACTGGGTGGATGGAAGAGGGACAGACAAATCAACATTCAGAAGAAAAGAAGCAGGAAAGATAGGAGTAAGAACAGGAAAAAAAAAAATAGAAACTGGGAAAAATGGACCCTGAACCTTCCAAAGGCTTTAAGAGTCAAAGTGGATGAAGGGACAGAGAGATGGGAAACAAGATAATGGAAAGTTAATGAAATATTGGATTATTCCTCCTGGAGACCCAGGGCTTATGGCCTTGCTTCCTTCAGAGAACGGTTCAAACATCTTCAGAGAATCCACCCCAGACCCTCTGTACAAAACAGCCCCTGCCATTCTCTAAGCCCTCAATCAGATTTATTTTTCTTCATAGTCTTTATTAGTACCAGACATGCTAATATATACAATCAATTATCCTTATTCGAGGCAGCTATAGTCCACAAACTCACAGGGAACACTGAATTAGTGACTATTAACCCATTGCTCCTAGGGGAAATACATGTATATAATATTACATTATAACATATACATGCTATTAACTGAAAGTTTGTGTCCCGCCCCCCAAATTCCTTATGTTAAAATCCTAACCTCCAATGTGATGGTATTTGGAGGTGGGGTTCTGTGGGAGTTAAGTCATGAGGATGGCTCCCTCTTGAATGGGATTAGTGCCCTTATAAAAGAGACCCCCATGAGATCCTTCATTCCTTCCACCATGTAAGGCCCCAACAAGCAGGCCCTCACCCAACACCAAATCTGCTTCTGACTTGATCTTGGACTTTGCAGCCTCCAGAACTGTGAGAAATAAATGTTTGTCATTTAAGCCACCCAGTCCATGGTATTTCTGTTATAGCAGCATGAACAGACTAAGACAGGACATATATGTGTATGTATATATGTACATATGTATATGTATATAGTTATATGGCTATCTAACATAAATATTATAATCTTAAATCCTAAAAAACAACCCATACTGGCAGACTCTATTTTATTTATTTTGCAAATAAGGAAGTGTTAAGTGACTTGCCTGAGGCTGCCCCACTCACAGATGCCAGAGCTGGGATTCAAACCCATCCAGCTGGCCCCAGCGGGAGCTCCTTACAGACACTGCCCTCTCCCATCTCCACCTCTGGGCATCTCTCTGTTTGAAAGCTAAACCCAGAGGGCAGAGCATCACCATGTTTGACCTTAGCTGGGAACATGTGCTACGGGCAACTCAAATTTTTGCCTCTCTGCCCATGTCCGTGAAAGCGCAGTGAGTACTGATTCTGGGGTTACAACCCACCCTGCAAGGAGGTGAGTTCGCAAATACGGAATCCGCAAATAATGAGGATTAACTGTATCTGTCTTTTCTTGTCTATTTCCTTCCTCTACAATGTGAATCCCATGAGGACAGGAATGCTTGGTCAGTTTTGTTCACTGCTAAATCCCCAGTCCCTAGGACAGAATGTGGGGCATAGTAGATGCTCAATAAATATCTGTTGAAAGGATCAAGGGCACAGAGAGAAAGGATGCACTAGTATCTGCCGTCTCTAAATTCTTACAACAGAGAAGGGAAGTGCAGCCCAGAGAGGGTAAGTCAATTGCTCAAAGTTGCCCAGCCAATAAGAGAGGCTTCTTTCTACCATGGCCTTGCTGTGTGACCCCAGTCCAATCAATTCACCTCTCTGAGCCTTGGTTTACCAATGTGAGGCATTCTTACGAAGGGTAAGCAGGAAGCTGATGGCAATTTCCCTTCAAAGCCTCCACACCAAGCCCTATAGACCATGTGTAGAGAGTACATCACCTCAGTCATGGAAAAAGGGCCATCAGCCTCACTTCATAGATAAGAAACTGAGGCTACAAGATGGCAGCTATGTGCCCAAGACAGTTCCGGCAATTATGAGGCTGAGCAGTTACACTATTCCATACTCACCACGACCCTATAATGATGACAAGGATGGTGATTTTCATTTTAGAGATGTAGAAACGGATGCATAAAAGGGCTAAGGGCACAGGCCTGGGGGCACACAGCAGGGATGGAACAGAGCCAGCATTGGGGTGGGAAGCCAGGAGGTGGGTTGACACCAGTGGAGAACAGCCCTCAGGACTCATGACTCACGGTAGCCAGCGCTGTTGACTACACAATCCAGGCGGCCGAAACGGTGGATGGTCTCAGAAATGAGGGTCTGAGGAGAAAGATATCTCGTGAGTGAGCAGTGATGGCACCAGGCCTTTTGGAGCCGAGGGTCCACAAGCGAGGTGGGGACAGGAGTCACAGCTGAGGGGCCAGACACCAGAGGGCTGGTGACATTCACACTGCGGTCACTATTCCAGAGACCTGGGACTGGGGTGCGGGGGCAGATGTCAGAGATGCTGGCTAAAGAGAAAGACCAGAAACCCTGAGGAAAGAGAAAAACTCTTACAGAAAGAGACTCACTGTGAGGAATTTATTTGTCCCAATCCACATGACAGGTGTGACAAGAGCCTTGAGGGAGTGGGAGATAAAGGAGAATCTTCCCAGGAGACACAGGACCTGGTCGGCAGAGTTAGGGAAAGCCTGGAAATGATACTGAGCTGAAACCTCTGGGACGGGTACAATTTAGCCAGGAGAAGGGGGGAAGGCAGAGGGAACAGCATGTGCAAAAGCCTGGGGCGGGGTGAAGAAACAAGTGGAGATACCGGGGGTAGGGACAGAAAATACGCTCACCCTCACATCTTCCTCCTGAGTCACATCACAGAGCAGAAAGACGGTGCCAGGAAGCTCCCGCTCCAGCGCCCGACCCCCGGACTCTGCAGGAAGAGAAGGGCTGGGGGTCTGGACTCTTGGGTCAGAGGGAGGAAGGGTCTGGGGACCCGGACTCCTCTTGGAGGGGTGGGGGTGAGGACTGAGGGACCCTCACTCACCATCTTTGTCACAGATAACCACTTGGGCACCGCTTTCCACTGAGGATGGGAAGAGAACTGGTTAACCCAGCACAGGCCTTTGCGAAGCCCTCTGGTGCCCTCTAGTGGCCACCTGAAGTGGGGCCGTCTCCCGCTATGCTCCCTTCGTGACCCCAAAGTCTCATGATAATCCCCTAGGACAAAGGGCAGAAGTTTTGACACATATTCTCCTTGGCTGCTCCAGGTGCTTGCTGGAGCTCCTGAGCCTCCATCCCCGGGTTCCAGAGTAAACCCTAAATCTGCAAGAGGCATGTTCCCCCAAACCACCCGTTTTGTAGCCATTACTGAGACCCGCCGAAAGCGAGTCAATGGCGTTTGGAAATCCGCCAAAATCTCAGGCCCCAGGCTACCACTGCCTATCTTTTCATTAACTTTGCAAATGGGATTTTATAAGATAAGAATCTAGATTCCAGTACAGAAGATACTTCTTTCCACACCCATTAATTAGCCCCCGAGGGTCCCTCCTCTCCCAGACTCCCAACATTCAGAGCCAGCCAGACCCCACTCACCGAAGGCTCGAACGATCCCGGCTCCGATGCCGCGCCCGCCCCCGGTCACGACGACCACCTTCCCAGCATAGCGCGTTCCCGTTGCCATTCCGCGTGAGACTGTCTCTCCCTCTGTCACTCACTCCAGGATTCTATCCACCTCAAAATCCGGTGAGGTCGTGGGGTCGAACGGTAAATAGGGGCTGGATCCTGGAAGCCCGGCCCTGGGGGGCGTTGCCAGGAAAGCCAGAAGCCTGGAAGGTTGGTCCCAGCCCCGTCCTCCCTCAGAACCAGAGGTCCGGATCCCCAAACCCCTCCTCCCTCAAACTCAGGATTCCTGCCGTCTCGCCCCCTCTGCTCTCGGACCCAAAACTCCAGGTCCCTAGTCTTCTCTTCTTTCAGATCCAGGAATCCTGGTCCCCAGCCCCCTCCTCCCTCAGAACCAGTAACCTGGACCCCGAGCTTCCTCCTTCCTCAGACCTACAAGTCCGAGGTCCTTGTCCCCTCCTCCCTCGGGGCCCAGAAGCCCACTACTCCGGCTCTACCCCTCAGAGACACCAGCGTAACAACCTCAGACAGAAAGTTCTTGACTAAAAGTTCAAAGTTTTAATCCAAATCTGGACAAGTGTTGGGAAAATCAAACTTTGGCCATAGAAACCCCTCCCCTTCTAGGCTACCTGAGGGGACCAGATCACGCCCCCAGGTTCCTGGAGAGGCTCCAGATCTCCAGGGGGGTACCTCCAGGCCACGCCCTCACTCTCTGATTGGTTGCTACGTTTAGGCGGGTCAGAAGCTAGACTGCAGCAGAGTGACTCGAAGAGGCCACGCCCCCTCGTCTTGGGTTAGGGCGGGAGGGGCGATCCCGGAATCCCACGTCGGTTCCCAGGAGGCGGGGCCTGCGCCGCGCCCACTACCTCTGCGGGAGAACCCCAAGGAGCGGGAATTGGCAGCTGGAGGAGATCTTGGTGGGGAGGACACCTGGGGCGGGGGCTCTGACGGAGGCGGCGGGGCTGGGGGAAGAGGGTCTCCTCGAGACTCCAAATTTCCACCTGGAGAGGACGAATGGGGTATGAGAATGGCAAACTCTGGGACCCAGAAGTCCAGACTCCCCCAGGCCTTTCCTCTCAGACCTAGGAGTCCGACCTCACAGCTCCCTCCTCTCCCAGACCCAGAATTCCTGGACACTGGGCCCCTCCTTCCTGGGATCTAGAACTCCCAAGCCCTGTCCAGCTCTCTCCTCATAAAGATAAAGGATTCCTCAGACCCCTACCCATCAGCACCTACGATTCCAGGCCTCCGACTCCCTCTTCCCTAAAACCCAGTAGCCCAAAGTCCCCAGCCCATTCTCACCTGTCATCATTCTGTGCCACTGCGACGCCTCAGTGGCCAGGGCTTGAGAGAGGCTGAGAACTCGCTCCCGGTGCCCTTCGGATGTCGGCAAATAAGGGGTGGTGTTCCTTGGACTAGAAAGAAAGAGATTTGGGGAACTTGTATAATTAGCCAGTACAGTAAGGACCACAGTGCCCCGCGTGTCCTTCTGGGAGTTGTAGTCCCTAGCACGTGTCTCTAAAGGATTTTAAACTGGGCGCGACCCTCTTTTAAAAAGCCCGCGTGCATTGTGGGATTTGTAGTTCGGTTGCCGGAAATTTTCTCAGATTTCCTGACGGAGGGGCGGAGTTTGATATAGACCAAGGAACTGCAGTTCTCACTGCGAACTAGGGCTTTCTGATTCCTCAGGAACTCAAGCGTCTCTAAAAGATTCTGCGATCTGTACTTTAGTACTCACGAGTACTCAGGAGACATTAATAGCAATGCTACTCTCCTTCCCTTTGCTAATTTCCCTGCTCCTTGCCCCGATCTCCAATTCCTTACCTGCTCCAGGACCCCGAGCTTCTAAGCCATTTCTGGGCTCCTGAGTGTCCCAAGACAGGCTGCAAAGGAATTGGGGCATTAGAATTCCTCATCTGGAAGTCCTCATGTTCTCATTTTGAGGGTGAAGGGGTTCAGAAAGGGGATAAAACTGCCCCAAAGACACTGCCAATTTTTAACTTTACTTGAGCTCCTGGAAAACAAGAAGAGCTCGGAAAATCACCGCCCCCCCGCCCCACCAGCCCCTTTGCATTCTGGTAAAAGGCTTACTGCAAAGAACCCCTCTTCTCCATATGACTTAGATAAGACTAATGAAGTAAAATTGCTATTTTAAGGCAGGACAAGAAAAATCAAACATAAAATTCTCTCTGTGTGCTTGAGTGTCCTCCCTCTCTCCCTAATGTGCAGGGTGCATCTGTATTACACATTAACCAGAGCTCCTCAGAGATGGCAGTGCCTGCTCTATCGTAAAGATCATTTTTCCCCCCTTTCTTCCGACACTACCAATGTAACTTCTTAAAAGAACAGTATTCTTTTCCAACTCTGTAGATCACGGTGATTTGCTTCTGGCTTTGTATGTTCTTCCCTAGACTATGTATCCTTGGTGAACTTTTTATGTAAAAATATCAGTATGTCATTTTTTAAAGTTATTATTATTTTTTACATTTATTTTATCTTTTTTTTTTTTTTTTTTTTTTGGCTGCATTGGGTCTTCGCTGCTGCCCTGGGCTTTTCTCCAGTTGGGGTGAGCAGGGGTCACTCCTGTTACAGTGCGCGGGCCTCTCACTGCTATGGCCTCTCCTGCTGCGGAGCATGGGTTCTAGGTGCATGGGCTTCAGTAGCCATGGCACGCGGGCTCAGTAGCTGTGGCACGCGGGCTCTAGAGCGCAGGCTCAGTAGCTGTGGCGCACGGGCCTAGTTGCTCCGCGGCATGTGGGATCCTCCCAGACCAGGGCTCAAACCCGTGTCCCCTGCATTGGCAGGCGGATTCCCAACCACTGCGCCACCAGGGAAGCCCATCAGTACGTCATTTTGATGTACGATCCTTTGTCTGGAAAATGGATGTGAGTGTGCCTTTTGACTTCTAACACATGGAACAGTTCTCAGAGCTGTCTGAGAGTCTGTCTCCCAGGTTATAATCCTGTTTCGCTCAAATAAAATTCCCTTTGTTTCTTGTTAACTTGTTTTTAATAGAATTTTCGTCGACAAGATTCACAGTTGACCCCCCGCCCCACCCCGTTTACCTGTGACAAGGCCAGAAACAGACCCTCCAAATTCACATTCCTTTTGTCGTAAATGATTAGCTGGACTCTTTGTCCCCCCCAAACTAGCTAGACATAGAGATAAATGTTTGGTGTTCAGCTGACTTGAGATGCTCCCTGTTTACAAAAACAATCCCAACTGTAAAATCAACCCACTTGTCTAATTCCTTCCTAGAAAAGTCTAAGATGAAACCATCCATGGGGAACTCCCTGGCGGTCCAGTGGTTAAGACTCCACACTCTCACTGCAGAGGGCCTGGGTTCAATCCCTGGTGGGGAAACTAAAATCCCACAAGCCACTGCGCAATGGCGTGGCCAAAAAAAAAAAAAAAAAAAAAACCACCAACAGCAAACCAAACAAACAAACAAAAAATGCCGTCCTGCCCGGACCACTCTGATCGTTGGAGCTGGAGTCCTCTCCCCAGCACCATAACATGAATAAAATCTATTTCCTTACTTGATCAATTTTTCTTCTTTTCTTTTTGCCTTTGACAACACATAGTAACTGAAAAGGAAAATTGGGCTTCCAATCCAGACCCGTGACCCCCACCCCCTCCCTGAGAAGGGAGAACGCTGGTGAGGTGGAGATGTTGTCTCTGGCCCACCCTGTCTTCCACCGATAAGGGAGGCAGGATGCTGATTTCAACACAGGTACAGCGGGGTAAAATCTGGAAACCTGTTCTGGGTACGGAGGAAGGAAACATCCCCATTTTACAGAGAGGAAAACTGAGGCTCCAACTAGGAACTAAGAACCCACTGCTGCTTCACCGCCCCACCCGTTTCCCTCACTTTTTGTTCTGCGTCAGGCTGGCGTCCGGCTGGGGACAGTGTCCTCCCCAGAGTGAGGAGCCGGGGGGAGGCTGGGCGAGGGAGAGGCCGACCGTACTCCTGGTGTCTGCGCATTCTCTCCAGTTGCTCCTGAGCACTCATCCGGGGCCGGGCCAGAGGGACCTGGGGAGATGAGAAACACCGCGATACTCCAACCTTGGCCTCCGTTTTCTCTCTTCCCTGAACCTCTCAGCCCCCTGCCTTGCCCTTCCCAATAAGTTCACCCCCGCTCTCGAGGGCTACTTCTACACCCGGAGCACAGGCTGTCCCTCTGCTGCTCAAGTCCTTCCATGGCCCCCAAGCGCTTTCAGGACAAAGGCATTGGAGGCCCCTTGTGGCCTGGTCCCTACCCACCTCTCCAGCCTCAACTCCATCAGCTGCCCTGTTCAAACCCGAAGCCCCAGACTGACAAACACCCACACTTCCCTGGACAGATCAAGTCTCTTTGCAGTGATAGTCAGGACTCCAGGTTGCTTGTGATTAAAAAAAAAAACAAAACAAAAAAACCTCTGAATCAGCTTTGAAAACATTAAAAGGAAGAATGAGATTTATCGTGTAACTCGATCGTCAGGAGGACCACTTTGGGTTTGTCTGAGGGAGGACTTTACAAGCTCTCTCGCGCCCTCAAAACCAGAGGGAAGAGACACACAGGGAGACTGTCATGTGACAATGGCAGTTATGCTGCCACGAGCCAAGGAGCTTTACCAGAAGCTACCAGAAATATGGTTCTGATGACACCTTGATCATGATCACTTACTTATAGCCTTAAGAACTTAAAATGCAACAGGATGGAGATAAATCAAAGGGGAACTTGAACTTGAACATTTGGAACATTCGCAGCCTATGTGTATTGCAAGGAAGCTTGTTCTGATGGGAACACCAAGGGTGTGTCCGTAAAACCATTTGCTGAGACATTAGGCACGTGATGGTGTGTGGATCCAGTAAACCAACTCAGCAGAAAAGATGCCAAGTCAAACTGAAGGGGACAGAGATGGGACAAAACGAAGGAAGGCCGTCAGACATCTGGGATTCTACAGGCAGGAAAGTGGCCAATAGAGCTTCAAACGTGTTATCCTTCCAGAAAGGGGGTCATTTGGACACAGACATGCACCTAGGGAGAACGCCACGGGACAACTGAAGTTATGATGCCACAAGCCAAGGAACGGATCTCTCCCTAGCTCCTTCAGAAGGAGCCTGGCCCAGGACTTCCCTGGCGGTCCAATGGTTAAGGCTCCAGGCTTCCACTGCAGGGGGCGCGGGTTGGATCCCTGGTCAGAGAACTAAGATCCCACGTGCCGTGCAGCGCGGCCAAATTAAGTAATTAATTAAATTTTTTTTAAAAAAGGGCATGGCCCGACAACACCTTGATTTCAGACTTCTAGCCTACAGAACTGTAAGACAGTAAATTTATTGTTTAAGCAAAAAACAAAGAGGATGGGGGTGGGGAGAGAACTCTCCACTGCAGTCTCCAACTAGAACATTCTAGGCAGACAGCTTAGATCTGTTGCTATTG